ATTTTCATGTTTAAATTAAGTAGCATTTAGTTTATTAAAAAAATAATAATTGGTTCAGGTGCTTTGAAGTATGTATTAAAAATGTTAATCTGTCACAGGAGAGCTGACGCTTCTAAATATTTCTAAAGCACTTCTATCCAATATCCTATGTTGCTCTCTCCTGGGAAGAGGCATACAGTGATCACGTCACCGTTGTGTAGGACAGGTTGTAAGAAAAATGGCAAAATGAGAGGAGAAGGTGTGTTGTGAGCTGATGCAGCAGCTGCGTGAAGAGGCCCTTCTCTTCAGCCCAGGGTTTGTTGTAGTTGTATCTGAGGCCGGGATGATCTACGAGATCCTGCAAAGGGACAGGTAGCAGCAGTCCTTTCCTCAGTTAATGCTGGCTGCTGTGCTGCTAGCTTACGGTTGTCCCCTTTCTCTGACAGTCTTGGCTTCATTTTGCAGAAAGTATTATGGGGAAATGGAAATGTTACTGCATTTCGTAATGCTGTTCCACGCTGCAGTGCTCCAGTTTCTCACACACACCTGTTTGCTGTCCTTTGCATGTGTACTTTCATCAAGGTTTCTGACATCAGTATTCCATTATAGACTTCCTGCTGGACATGAGTACTTGATACACTGTTATTTGCTCTAGCTTTTATTTCCCTTTTGTTTTCTGGTTGAGTTTTCATCTTTTATGTGCTATCATTAAGTCAATGAGTTGGGCAAAGTACTGCAAGTGATCCTTTTCAAACTCCCTTTTAATATCCCTTGTTTATTTTTAGTGTTGCTAGATGAAATGGTTCTGTAACTATTTGTTCAGAGGCTACTTCAAGGATGCTAATTACATTGATAACAGGTGGGAATTCCCATGGGATTTTTTCCAAATGTTATCTCTGTTTCTTTATGAAAGTAGAAAGTGTTGCCTATAGTAATACAGATATTGATCCAAAACTGTGGAGAATATTCAAAACCCTGTGTTTTATGTGATTGCCAGTTTCTATATAGGATTTAGTGGAGAACTTGGATATTGTTTTTGGTCTGATTTGAGGGACTGCAATGCAGCAGAACATTATATTACACAAAGCTCTATTATATCGTATGAATAGACAGACGAGTTGTCAAGAGGTTTTTTTTTTTTGATCCATTTTAGATGTATATGGAAAGCACTTCAAATAACTAAGTAGAACCAGCTAAGGAAGCAATAAAAATGAATAATAGTGTAGCATAGTAAACACAAAATGGGCTAATTATAGTCTGAAATCAAATATTGAAGTTGGATTTCCAAATTTTTACTGTGCAGCTGCTCATTCTGGCTCTAGAAGAGAACAGGAATTGCAGTCTGCAGCAGAAGGAAGCTTGTGCAGTGAATCCAATACTGTATCCTTTGTTATCCTAACTGGAAAGGGCATTGAAGTGATAATGCAAGATGTGTTTGGCCAGATTTACTGGCATATATTTGTGGGGCTCATTAGCTTCTTCTCTTTAGCTCTCCTCTTTGTTCTTCCCTTTGCCTTAGTTCTTGCTTGTGTTTCTTTCTGTAAGAAAGTTGTTCAGGTTTGATCATGAAGTGTTTAGATAGCATGGTAGAAGGATCATGAAGCCCTCTAAAGAGAAGAAACACCACAAGGTCTGGACTTCTGTGTGTCCTTCCTTTACTTCATTCTCAATTACATTCTTTTGCCTGTCTGGAACAATCAGTTCAACTCCAAAGGTTTCCCTACTTTCCTCATGGGGAGTATCAAAAATAGAAGATTGGTGGTTTTCAAGCATTTCAGTAAAATTAAGAAAAAAACAAACCCAACTGCATTATTATATAATTCTGAAGCATTGTCTATCAGTGCCAACTAGCATTAACTCCACAATAGGCATTAATTTCTTTGAAGTTCCTTCTGGTTTGTTGGTTGGGTTTTGTTTGTTTGTTTGTTTTAATGGCTCTTATGAAAGATCTAAATAGATGTTGTTTGCTTTGTAGGTGGTGGACTGTGCTTGGGATGAACTAGTCAAGATCTATACTCCGCCATGTCTGACAGTTCCTGCCTAGAGAAAAAGTGAAGAAGCTCTGACACACCAGGAACCTTTCTCTGCTTCCCCGCAGTGAGACGTGCTGAAGTGTCAACTGTGTCACTAATCTTAGTGTCCCTTTTTAAGTAAAAATCTGCTTGAATGGAGTGTTGCGCACTTAATCGTGTGGAGAATTTAGGGCTTGGTTTACTGTACAGGTAATACTTCAGCCACCAAAACATTCAACAGCTAGTGAATGGCCGAAGAGTGGCCGTGGCAGATACGAGCTGGTGTCTTCAGAGCAGAACCCCCAACACAGTTTTGTGATCCATCTGGCTTATGATGAGAGCAGAGGCCTTGAATCTTCTTGATCCTTATCAAGAATAAAAGTAGCAGGCAATGTATTTTGAGATAATGTCGCTGTAGAAAAGTGAAGAAAAAAAAAAAGTGGCTTTTCACTGTCAAGTACTGTAATGTCAGCTGACGTTTATACCACTTGGATGCATTGATATGTTTTGCTGTGACTCACATTGCATTATTTTCTTGTGCAATATGACAAATACTCTTGAGAGGCAGTAAATGTCATAGTTCATAGCCAGCTGATTCATTTGATTTTTTTAATTGCTGCTTCACAAAGATGGCAATTATTTTCATACATTTTTTTTCGGTTAGATCTCCTTGAGTAAAACAGTTCATGAAGTCATGTAGAAAGATATTCTGATGATAAAGAAAGCATTTAAGAAAAAATGAAATATATACAGCACTAATTGGATCACATTCCTCAAGATTTAGAGCTAGGACAACTCTCTCTTCTATTAGACTTGTCTTCTGTTTTAACTTAGAAAGTTCTTACAAGAGATAGAAGAGAAGTGTGCCCGTACATTCAGTGTTTCTGGACCTCTGACAGCCTGGCCAAAGTGAGAGCTGATATCCAAGCCAGGTGAACTTATGTACATACAGATTAACTGTATGACATAAGCAAAGCAGATAGAGTGTGGCCAAGCTGTTATACTTAAGAATATGCCCAACGTGTTATAAGTATGTTGAATACTTTGCATGCCCATTTTGACTTCTCAGTGCACATGCTGTTTTTTTCATCTGAGTTTTTCTGGGTCAAGTAGAGATGTTCCGTTTTTATACTTCTCCAGTCTCCTTTCAGTACTTTTTCAGGATCTCGCTGCAGTTCTCTGGTATGTTTCCTGCTAGCCTTTTTTTTTTTTTTTAACCTTCCTAAAGCAGTCTCCCTTCTGCTGTTACTCCATATCAACAATCTTTACTGTCAAAAGAGTCTTGCAGGTCAGGTCTTCACAGGTCTTTGGTCAGATTTCATAGTCTCTTGTTAATGAATGCTGTACATTTCTGGGTTGCACCACTCGTATATCAAGCAATAGCAGACACTGCCAGATCTGTTGGATGCTTTGAAGAAGTGAAAGAAAGAATGCAGCAGAGCTAAGACCTGCAAGCTGCAAGGAGAGAATGATCACAGCTATCTTAGAGAAATGAGATGGGGAAGTAGCAGGTAGCCATGGGGAGATACACCTGTACTGGACTGGTGTTAGGGCAAGAAAGGAAAAACCTCTTCTGCGACGTGAGAATTTTGATCCTGGTAGGATCTTAATTTTTTCTGGGTCTTTTCAAACTGACTTCAGAATGCAATCTTCTTGAGCTGAATTAATAACAAAAAAACATATAGCAGTGTGTTGCACCAAATTCCAAAAGTTTACTGCACTTTAATTCTGTGTGCTGAGGGTGATAAAGATAGGCTGCATACAGCTTTCAGCAGTACATAAAATCTAATTTTAGGCATCAAAATTGATTGTTTCAACCTTAATAGTTACTCTCCTGTTTTATCTCCCTTTTCTGCTTAGACTACAAGTTATTTGTCTTAAGTGAGTGGGACATTTTGTTAGTGGATATGTATTTTGTATGCATGTTTCTGGAAGGAGGAAGGGAGGCAGGAAGATATTCTAGAATGCTGCTGTAGCCTGTGGGTTGCAAACTTAAAAAACCTAGCACGGGTAAGAAAAAAAAAAAGGGATCCCGAACACACACACACACACACACACATGCACATTCAATACGTGGATTAAACCTTTTCCTAATTGCCTTCTCTCCCCTCAATATCGTGCTTAGCTTCAGTGCTGAGGGTTGCTGTGTCCAGTTTTAATTCTCTGGAAAAATGAGTGCATCTGGAAGATGTGCATAGTAACTAAAAACTGTGGCCTTGAGATCTTTGAACAGAGAGAATGTGCTGTAAAATTTCTGCGCTGTAACACAAAAACCAGTCTGGCAATAGTTGTTGCTGATTTTTTAATTCTCAGGGAATGTTAGTTATAGCAGTTTTAAAGAAATACTATTTTATGACCATAATACTAGCTCTTGATGTTTCTTTGTTTACCGAAACAGACCTTTAACAACATCAATCTTAAAGAGGTAATGTGTTCTACTTTTAAACCTATTTCTGTGGAAGGTTTGTTTTCTGGGAGCCCATAGGTTTCTCCTCGGTTCAAGAAATGTATTAATCATCTTTTAAAGGAGTGGATTTGCTGTTCTACAATGCTATTAAATTAATTGCACACAGTATCTTTGGCTTCACTCTTGTATTTGCTTCGCCAGTTAAGAAACGTTGATGAAAAAGCAAACACAGCGAAAGATACTGAGAGAGTATCTTCTAAGTAAAGAGTATTGTAAAAATGATTTGTGTCTTATAAATACTGGGTCACAGTTGCATTTTTCTTCTGAACTTCCAGAGGCAGTGCCTTATGCAACTTTGCCTAGCTGTATGTCCCCTCAGTCTGCATTTTGATAAAGTAAAGCTATTTCAAATGATTCTTTGTCTGCATGTCAGTGATGAAGTGTTCTCTCTCCTGGCCAAGTACAGTGCTGGCCTCAAATTTTGCTGCATGGGCATGGACTTACTAAGCCTTTCAGTAGTACTGCTCCAGTTTGAATGTGCTCAGGGTCACGTGATGGCGAATGGATACGACTCTGCACAGTCTTTCCCCTGTACACCTCATGGTTGCATTAGGCCCAAAGTAAACTATCCATGAAAGACTTTGGATAGTTCTTTACCATTTTCATCTAAGTAACCATTTTTAAAAATTATACCCTTAGGAATTTGACACATATGGGCTTACCATGTCATTGTTCCTGGGTGAAATGCAAAACTGAATGAAATGTGCATCGGAAGATTAAAGACTTCAGAATAATCTCATTGCTGTAAGGAACCACAGAGCTATTTGTTACTATGATCTGTGCCTCACTGCTAGGTAAAAATCTTGTAACAGCATCAGCTTATGAAATGAGCACCCAGCGCTGTCTCTGGACACAAGAACGGCTTGTGTGAGGGAAGTGTGTTCACCGTAGTATTACCTCAAATGTTGCCTCTCTGTTGCTTTATCCAGTTCCTTCCCCGTGAGGTGGAGGGGATCCTGTGTTTTCTGAGTGTGGAGTGGTGGAGAGGCCATGGGAGACTAGTACTGGGCCTGGCCTGAATCCATGTTACAAATGGGATGGTTTGGCAAGGGACAGCACCTTCCACTCAGTGTAGACAAGACATTAGGAGAACCATGAGGGGTATTTAAAGAGAAGCTGGCTTTGTGACACAAGTGAGTTCCAAAATATAGGATATGATACTTGGGACACCATGAGATGCCTGAGTTCCCAAATTTAGTGTAGTGCAGCCTCGCCTGCAGTACATTGTGCAGTTCTGGGGCCCACACTTGAAGGATGTAAAGGTCCTTGAATACATCCAGAGGAGGGCAACAAATCTGCTGAAAGGGCTGAGAGAAATGTATTATGAGGAGCAGCTAAGGACTTTGAGCTCATCTAGCTTGGAGAGAAGAAGGCTGAGGGATGACCTCATTGCTCTCTACAGCTTCCTCAGGAGGGGAAGTGAATAGGGAGGTGCTGATCTCTTCTCCTTGCTATGCAGCTGTAGGACACATGGGAATGGTTCAAAGCTGCAGCAGGAGAGGTTCAGACTGGGCATTAGTAAGTATTTGTTTGCCAAGAGGTTGGCCAAACCCTGGAACAGGCTTTCTAGATAGGTGGTTAATGCCCCAAGCCTGTAAGTGTTTAAGAGGCATTTGGACAATGCCCTTAATAACAGGCTTTAACTTTTGCTGAGCTGTGAATTGGTCAGGCAGTTGGAGTAGGTGACCACTCTAAGTTCTTTCCAACTGAAACAGTCTATTCTAGTCTAGTCTATTCAAATTTTCACCCTCCTGATATGCTTGTTTTTCTGTTTCAGCTCGGGAAGTATTTAGCCCCCAGTGCAGACTTGCAGCCTGACCCTCTGCAATGTCAGAGACTCACTCCTCTAGTGATAATTTCACTGCCAAGGGGACAAAATTGTTTCTTCCAGAAGTTACGGTTAGGTGGAGTCCCAATTACTACAGTATTTCCCAAAAGCATGATTAGATTTTTTTCCATCTGCACTTATTTGGCAGAAGGAACTTTTTTCTCCCATGTGCAAACACTGTCACGGTGATCCACATGTTCCTTTAAATTGTGCTGTGTGTGGGCTTGGGATGAGTCCAAATGCAGGCTGGTGTAAATGCATTGGCACAGTTCTTCAGTGGATTTTGAAGCCAGACTTGGTCTCCAGTAAGTTTAAATGAGAGTTTCAACCTTCATATGCCTTAATATTTCAGGCCACTTAACTCCATGTTTTTGTTTTATGCTGCAGTGCAGCTGTTGAAATACATGAAGACTCCTGAGGTGGAGCACCCCATGACACAAGGAAGGTGACCACAACTGACATGTCATTTTGCCTGAAAACTTCTGAGTTGGGGTGCATGCTTTCTTCCCACCCTGAGTTAGCAAAGATTAAACTTCCAAGTATCCTGATTGCATCTGTGGCTTTTGTGACGGAGGTAACCTGAGAAATTAAAATAGATACAATTCTCACCTTTTAAAAGGAGGCATACACACAGAGTCCTGAGGACTTTTTTCAGTGTTTTAATATTTCAGTCAGTAAAGGTTTTTAATCAATAGACATGTACTCAATAGACGTAAGTACTCAAATATTAAAACTAAAGATTTGTATGTAAAAAGAAGATGAAAATAAAACTGCCTTGTTAACAATCACAGAGAGAACAAAATGGAAAACAAACCATCATGGAAAATAATTAGGGAACCCGTAAAGTCA